TCTCTTCCTCCCCAATCCCTTCACACACCACACGGCGTCATCTCTCTCTCTCTCTCTCTCTCTCTCTCTCCATCCACACCTCTCGCTGTGTGTGTGTGTGCGACCGCACTCGTGAGAGCACACGCTCGCCTTATTCACATTGGAAAAACAAATGTGGCGCTAAGCCTAAACGCAAATTGAGAAAGCTAAGAAAAACGGAATGCACTCTCTATATCGTCCCCAGATAAGGGAGCACGAAGCGAGGGAGGTCGGAGGGCCGAGGAAGGTACTGCCACCGGAGGAAGGAGGGAGAAGGCGAGGGAGGGAAGAGGAAGGGAGAAAGGGAGGAAGAAGGGAGGGCCGATGGGGCAGGGGTGAGGGAGGGAGGAGAGATGGTCGAGGCAGGAATGGAGGACAGGCCGACGGAAGGAGGATAGAGGGTCGAGGCAGGACAGGCCGAGGGAGGCGGGATGGTGATGGTGCCTCTCTCTCTCTCTCTCTCTCTCTCTCTCTCTCTCTCTCTCTCTCTCGGTAGAGCACTGGTCATGCACGTAGAGCACCGAAATACAAAAGCACGGATCCACAATGTAGACCACTGATCATGCACGTAGAGCACCAAAATACAAAAGCACGGATCCATGATGTAGAGCACTGATCATGCACGTAGAGCACCAAAATGCAAAAGCACAGATCCACGATGTAGAAAACTGATCATGCACGTAAAGCACCAAAATACAAAAGCACGGATCCACGATGTAGAGCACTGATCATGCACGTAGAGCACGTTGAGCACCAAATTACAAAAGCACGGATCCATGACGTAGTGCATTGATCATGCACGTAGAGCAAGTAGAGCACCAAAATACAAAAGCACGGATCCACAATGTAGAGCACTGATCATGCACGTAGAGCACACGTGCACGTAGCACTGACGGCCGAGCAGGAATCCACACTGCAGCGAAGAGAGAGAGCTATGGTGAAGGGAGGAGGCCAGAGAGCGAGAGAGAGAGAGAGCACTGTTCAACCGAGTTCACGTCAAGCACCGAACACCAAAGGAGAGCACAGTCCAAGAGAGAGAGAGAGAGAGAGAGAGAGAGAGAGAGAGAGAGAGCTAGGGTAGGAGGGAGCAGTCGAATGTCGTAGCGTGCCGTAGCGACCCGTAGCGGCAGAGCGCCCGAGTGGACGATTGAGAAGCCCGCACCTTCGAATGGTGGGCGGATATACAGCCTGCCAATGAAAAAGTGGGCGGGCGATTTCAGGGCTGGGCGCAGGGCGCGCGTTCAGAAGTGGCGGGCAGGCGGGCTGGACCAACGCAAAAACGGCAGAAAAACAACGAAAAACAACCGAAAAAAAAGAAAAAAGAAAAAGCGGCAGGGCCATTTGGGCGGGGCGTTTCAGGCCATGCGCCACTTCAGGTATGAACCGGTATCGCACACCCCACGGCCCAGATTGCAGGCCGATCACCACCTGCGGACGGCCCAGATCGGAGGCGGAGGAGAAAAGTTTCTCATCGGCCTGCAATCTGGGCCGTCCGAGGGTGGTGATCGGCCCGCAATCTGGGCCGTGCGATATGATGTTAGCGGTTTTCATATTATTGTAGATATATGGTGTGGGTGAGTGATAGTCTGCTTTCATATTCGTCACGGGTACCTTGAGGGCAGTGGTTGGTGCCCACCTCAAGATATCAGTTGTCGGGCAGTCCTTGATGCTTAACCACAACCAGGGTTAGGGTCGATTATCACTTACAGTGTAATCAGTTAGGGGATTCCGCAGACTGTCGAGGGTTCAGCCTCCTGATGAGTCGGTGAAACTCCAACGAAACAGTTTGTCACAGCCCCTCATTTGTTGTCCTCTTCCCCCTCTGCCTACGGTTTACGGGGCAGCTCTATATCGTCAAACAGAGCTGCCCCGTAAACTGTAGACAGAAAGGGAGAAGAGGACAACAAACGAGGGGCTGTTGACAAACTGTTTCGTTGGAGTTTCACCGACTCATCAGGAGGCTGAACTCTCGACAGTCTGCAGAATCCCCTAACTGATTACACTGTAAGTGAAAATCGACCCTAACCCCAGTTGTGGTTAAGCATCAAGGACTGCCCGGCAACTGATACCTTGAGGTGGGCACCAACCACTGCCCTCAAGGTACCGTGACGAAAATCAAAGCAGACTATCACTCACCCACACCAATGGAAAACCTGTACAGACTGTCGGTTCACACCCCATCACAAGCCAGCAAAACACCCTATATATATCGTCACAAACAGAACTGCCCGGTAAACTGTAGGCAGAGAGAGAGAAGAAGACAACAAACGAGGGGCTGTGACAAACTGTTTCGTCGGAGTTTCACCGACTCATCAGGAGGCTGTATATATATATATATATATATATATATATATATATATATTGTCAAACAGAGCTGCATATATATATATCGTCATATATACAGGGTTGCCAGGCCGAATGGACGGAGGCCCCTAAGCTGACCCCCGAACGTTCAGGCGTTCGGGTCCCTGTACGGGGCCCGAACCTGAAGGGGTTCGGACCCCGCCAAAAATTATTTGGGCACCTAAATATTATTTTTCTTTTCTGAATTTTTTTTCCGTGCGTTCTTTGTGATGTAAGGTATCTCCTCAGTTTTGAAGCCATTCTGTTCAGCCAAACAAAAATGAAAAATCGGCAAAAATGGTGGTGTCAAAACTTGCTTGCCCACTCACTAATTTGTTTTTTCTCTCTTTTCACTTTTTGTTTTTCCTTTATTTCGGGCCATGAAAAAATTTATTATTTTTTCAAACTTTATTTCTAGATTCTCTATTATGTAAGATACACATATAAAAATTTTCATGGCATTTGTCACAGCCAAAAAAAAACGAAAAACCACCAAAGATGGCGGTGCCAAAAACGTGCTCGCCCACTCAATAATTTCATTCTCGTTTTATTTTTTCTAATTTTCATTATTATTATTTATTTTTTAGTATTTGATTTTTATTTCAAATTTGGTAACGAATTTGGATGTAACGTTTATTCTTCTGCATAACATATATTTTTTTCAGATTTTTTGGAATTCGTTTCTTTTTTTTTTTTTTGGGGGTCCGCCTTCGGCCGAACGGCCGAACGCGTCGAGACGGGGCGCCGAACGTTCGGACGTTCGGGTTTGGGCGTTCGGCCTGTCCCGAACGCCGGCAACCCTGTATATATATCGTCAAATAGAACTGCCCGGTAAACCGTAGGCAGAGAGGGAGAAGAGGACAACAAACGAGGGGCTGTGACAAACCCTGTATATATATATTATACATATTATATATGTATATACTATATAGTCAAACAGATATATATACTGTGTTGTGACCTGTACACACCCCGTATAAGTACAGAGTCATACTCCTGTACTCGTATTAGCTAGGCTACCAGACTGGCCTGGGGTCACGTGCCTGGCCGGACCAAAACAATAAAAAATTATAAAATTTATACAAATTATTTTTAAATTTTATTTTTGATTTTAAATTTGGTGAATAATTTCGATGTGACCCTGAGGCAAAAGTTGTTCAGCTTATTTTTCTGCATAACATAGTTTTTTTTTTTGGATTTTTTGGATTTTTTTTTATCATTATTTTTTTTGCTGGGACCTTCCTTGGGCGGCCCAGCTGGTAGCCTAGCTTTTACCCGGTACTGTTTTTATTTTCCCCCTCAAATTCTAATAAGAATCTGCAGATGATGCTCAGCCAAATGTTGCTTGTTTTGTGCTGCTGCATAACTTCTTTTTCCCCAGATTTTTTGACGACATTTTTTTCTTTTCTTCGTTTCCCCGTACGGGGGCATACAAACATACGAGATGACGTACAGGTTCCCGTACAGGTCCCGTACATATTTTTCCTGTACGTTTCGCACGGAGAGGCACCATACGTGTACGGTCGGTAACGTATATATCGTAAAACAGAGCTGCTCGGTATATATCGTCAAACAGAGCTGCCCGGTAAACCGTAGGCAGCGAGGGAGAAGAGGATAACAAACGAGGGGCTGTGACAAACTGATTCGTCGAAGTTTCACCGATTCATCAGGCATATGAAACAGTTTGTCACAGCCCCTCGTTTGTTGTCCTCTTCTCCTCTTCTCCCTCTCTGCCTACGGTTTACCGGCTAGCTCTGTTTGACCTGCAACAAATTAGCAAGGACCCATCGTGAAACAGAGATAGGCATAAGACTTCCAGTTTTGTACGAGTGGGCCGAGTGGGCCGAGAATATATAGTCTGGATTCAAATTCAGGTCTGTGTATCAGCGATTACGGGTCACTAATTCTCCATTTTTCCGTTTTTCTTTTCTTAGGAATATGTGCAGTAGCCCTAAGGGCCTCTACTCACCACATGCACAAAAGACAAAACATATAGAGTACATATTCGGCCAGCACCTGCTCCACTTCATACTCATCGCCTGGCTCGATTTTGGTGAAGGGTCTGCACTAATTTGCTGCGAGGACCCTTCAGATTACCTGCAGGGGCCCTCTGATATGTGTGAAAAGGACCCTCCACTTTCTCTCTCTCTCTCTCTCTCTCTCTCTCTCTCCCCTGTGTACACACACACACCACTAAAAATAATAATAATAATAATGAAAATAATAATAATAAAAAAATTGAGCGCATCACTAAGATGTGCAAGGCGCACGCGCACCGAACGACGCTCTGCAGAAGTGCACCGCGAGTATGACCCAAAGTGCACACACAAGCACATTGCATGATTCAAAGCAAGAACCCCCCGCAAAAGGAATCCTGCACCCATACAGAATACTTTATATCGGCAAAAAGCAAACAACTGCCAACGATGAGTGGCAATGACCGGTAATCCATCATGCATACATGGACATATACCTACTGCTTCAGAATACTCCATGTGTACAGAATGACAGGAATGGACAGAACTTGAAGAAGCACAGGCGCACTCTTTACGATGCCACACACAAACGATTGCGATCAATAATTTTTGGATCGAGATTGGGACACGAGGCAATTGCAAGTACACCAACCGTTACATGCACTCGTTGCAGCAATAGACTTTATTCATACAGAGGTAGAGCATCAAGAAGAACCGTCGAGGTTGACGGGGGAGGGAGGAGACTACCTTCTTCACCTGACCGTATAGTCCTTTTTGCTGCATCTGGACTGAAAGGTGAGCCAGATACGGCTATCATGACCATATGTTCTATTCGGGGGGCAAGATGGGAGGAGAGCTTCATGGATAAATTACCTTCCCGTTCAAAACACACACGCTCTCTCTGCCCAACCTTTTTTAAAAATATGACAAGTAATCAGGAAGGCTGTGCAAGCTACTGCCATGGAACTACTCCTGCCTGCATGTTCACGGAACAGTTCCCAACTCTGAGCCGTCAGATCAGCAACTTGATCTACTGTCATCAGGGGAACAACAGCCCATGCTCATTCGGTTTCTCGGAGTAGCAATTGCAGTCATTCCCCATAAACTTCTGCATCGAGGGTGAAGGGTGAACAGTTGCAAAAATCCCTAGTAATTACAATCTGCATTTTGCTAGGAATCGAACCTGAGCATCACCCTCATCATTAGCCTAATCACTTCTTCACAGTGAACCTAAACACAGCAATCCCTTCCCTACCGAGCCTCCCCCCTCTATGAAAAGAGCAGATTAAAAATGCTGCGCGTACTGACAAGCAGCTCACATCCCGGTGAGTTGAGGTGCAGGCCTGAAGCAGGCATCCAATCCTGCACAGTGCACACCCGTGGAACACTTCCCAATTCCAACCATCAGATCAATCACTCATCTGCTATCATCTGGGGACCAACAGCCCATTCTCATTACGCCGGAGTAACAACTGCAATCATTCCCCGCTTCTGCATCAAGGGAAAAAGGTTCAGCAGTGGCAAAAATCCCAATTAATTGGTTCTAGTGATCCAATCTGCATTGCTGGGAATCGAACCTGACCATCGCTCCATCATCAGCCTGAGCAATGCCCTACCCCGAATCTAGACAATCCCCTCCCTCCCCCTCCTCCCACTCTTCCCCCTGCACCCCCCGCCACCCCTTCCCTTGGCTCCATCCTCCCTGAATCCATACCACGACATTCATCAGGGGAAACGAGTCAGCAGTGGGAAGAGACTCAAGCACACAAATGGTGCCAATCTGCACTGCCCAGTCCAAATACGGACAATCGCTTCCCCCCTCCCACCCCAAAACTAGACAGTTCCCTCCCCCTTCCCCCCCCCCTCCAGCATCCTCGCGGCCACCCTCTTCTCTGAATCCAAGCCACCTCATCTGTCGGGGGGAAAGACTCACCGGCGAGAAGAAACCCGAAAAATAAAGGGTATCATTCTGAACTGCCCACTCCAAATACAGACAATCACGTACCCTCTCGTGCTACCCTTCCTCCTTGAAACCGTACCACGGAACCACCAGCTGGACTTACAGGATAGCCCCTCCCCGACAGGCCCGTGCAGGTCTTGACAGCTGTGCGCTCACAGTCCCTAACAGGGCCTTGAATCCTGCGCAGTGACAGGCTGGACTGACAGGCTCAAACACTGCGCCATTGTACAAGAGCTCTAAGTGACACAACTCAAAGGATAGATTAGTGTGGACACTTGAATTCCAAAATAGAAAGGATGGGTTAGTGTGGACACTTGAATTCCAAAACAGAAGGGACACAACGCAAGCAATCCCAGAGTGGAAAGGGTCGCAAAAAAAGGATTTTGACAAGGTGCGAGAAGAGGCCAGAGCTAAAAAACTTGTCGGTAATCATCCGTCCTTCCCACACCCTTGAATTCACACCCTGCTGAAAAGTTACTGATTCGCCTTGTCCCCTAGAAAGAAACATAAATTTGCCGCATACCAACCACTCCCCGCTCCCAACAGCCTCCCTCCTCCTCCTCCTCCTCCGCCTCCTTCTAGCCCTACCCATTTTTGTCCACGGACTCGCATGTCATTCTAGCGTTGCAATCTTCTAGAATTGCATGTATGGTTCGCTAGTCGATCGACCGGGCAGATGGACAATCGCTGCTCACATATGCATACACATGTACACACGCATAACAATACCAAAAACAAAACTGTGCTGGAAGGTAACTCTGCAAATTGATCAGAACAATTGGATCTATCCTGGTAAGGAGTTGAGAACAGGAAACGTAAGGAACTCTCACCAGACGAGCGTGCTCTTCGATGTGCACGCGCTTCACTTGAGTCGTGCATGGGAACTTTGGGAAGCACTCGGCAAAACATTTGTCGCTGTAAAGAGAAAAGAACAGGAAAAATACCTCCTCAACAGGCCCAACCGGATTGTACAGCTGCAATGCCTCTAGGCTATCAGCAGACGAGCGTGCTCTTTGAAAGCTAGACTTGCAGTCGTGGACGGGAAGTACTCAGCAAAGTATTCATCTTGCAGAACAAGCCGCCCGCTTCATCTACACACTTCATCCACAGACAGCGCCATCGGATAGCAATCGTGTTCGTACACCAGAGTTGTGTGCGGAGACTCGTTTATCGACGATTTCCATGACCATGCCTGTGTGAATGGGGAGGCGACGGTGAACGGAGATGGTAGCCATGCCTGGGCGATGACCTGGTCGATGGGTGATGGCGCGATAGCGGGCTCCTCCCAGTCCCATTTCCTATTTCCCCCTCTTCTCTTGCAGTCATATCACCAGGGCCTCCATCATTCGTTGCGCCTCGCCGAAGTCTTCGGTGAAGGTCCTCTATGTATTTCCGATAGAAGGATTCTCTATCTTTACGCGGAAATCTCTGGTACCGCAAGTCTGTCTTCAACACTTTACGAGCCTCTGTCCACGAGTTGAAGATCGTCTTTCCGTCCCTATCCAGCCGAATAGCAAGATCGTAACTCAGCTCCTCTGACAACAGCTGCATGTACTCCCGTTCGCATTTCTGCAAAATGACGCGTTAAAAAAGAAAAAAAACACAATGGCACGCAGAGGTACATGAGCGACAGTCACTTTCGGCTCCACACGCGCAACAACAACCAGAAGGGGAGAAGGATCAGTCAACCATGTATTCAAGCTCAAGCCCTACTTCAGACATGTGCTTCTTCAAAACACAACCAAAAACAGCCCCTCGCAACCCTAAAAACGTACTCCGTACCGAAACAAAAAACAGCCCCTCGCAACCCTAAAAACATACTCCTTACCGAACCGGAAGTGCTCAAATATCTGGCCAAAGCTGCCGCAGGTTCGGACTCGTTCCAAAGTGTTCGAAGTGATGGAACCACGCTACCATAGAATGGGATGTCAATCCAGATAATACAGATATGCATTCGAACAGAGCCGGTGATAAACAGACCATGAGTTCAATTCCAGATACAATCAGACGAGTACCCAGATCTGTCCCAACAAATCCATAATGAGTACCCAAATGAGTAACTGAAGAATGGGATGTCAAACCCAGTTATGTCCAAACAAAGCTGTAATGAGTACTGAAAACAAGAGGACGCCGGCCAACCTTAGAAATGTGATATGAAGATCAAATTGCCAGGAGTTCAAGAATAAAACGGAATTACCCGGGGTCGGTCAACCACGGTGCAGTACATCAAGACTGTCGGGCTGTTTCATTTGCAAGGGACCTGACTGTCAACACTTGCCAGAGTGTAACACAATGCATGCCACTTCACCATTCCCACAGATTATGACTCCACACACAACGCAGAATGGGGATGAGATGAGAACCAAGTCGCGCAGCCCATATTATCTCAAAGTTTCAAACACATTATAAAGAGTATCTTGAGTTCATGTCTCCAGGCGCTCAACAACATGACCTGTCTCTCTCTCGAACATCAACATAATGGGGCCTGGCTTAGCAAGCGCCACCTCTCACAGCAACCAGCGAGCGCAGAACAGGTACGTAGTCACCATAGCCATTCGTCAACCTGTCCTTTTTCTCCCTCTCTCTCTCTCACTCTCAAGATCTCAGTCTTAGTCCTCCTCTCTCATCATACATGCACACTCCTACCACGAAGATCTACTTTGAATGCTACTCACTGTATACTAACAACTAACCCTCTAACTATGCTACTTGGCTGGTGCAGCTATGGCTGCCTCTTTGCAAGCCAGCGTCCAGCTCCTTCTTCCTTCCTGCGCAGCTTCGCCTCCAGCGCTAACCCAGCTAGCCAGCGCACAAGTGCACGCAGCACTTCCACGCTGATAATGCCAGTGGGAATCTGATGTCAAGGGAGGCTGGCCTGTTGCTTTACACTGCTGGCCTCCCCTGGCGAGGTCTGCATTGGTCTGTATTGGCACGGTGGGCCTCCTTCAGTCCCAGACCCATGTATATCTGTGTGTCCCAGTATTTTCCCCTCAGGGTCTGCTGCTGCTGTTGTGGCCATTTGGCCTGGATTTCGGACTGGGTGTCTGAATCTAGACCCCCTATTAGACTTGGACAGAACTCGGAACCTGCCCTTTGACTTCCTTTTGGACAGACACACATTCTGCACGAACAGACACATACTGTACGTACAGACACATCTCTTGCCTGAACAGACATGACCTCCACACCCCCCCTGAACGAACAGATGCGACTCCCAAGTCCAGATATTGCAGCTGTTCGTACAGGGCACAACTGTGACCTTTGACATTGGCTTTTACTTAGCTAGGATGTGACTTTTGACCCAGAGAACATGTCCTTTGATCTGCTTTCATGAGTTGGGCCCTGGCGAGTGACCCCTCTATGCTGCATTTGCCGAACAGGGTCTGAATCGGGTAAAGGCCCTTTTACATTATTAACAAAAGAAAAGATATAAGAAAATTGTACATCATATCAGCGACACCAACTGACGTAACTCAGTTGGCACACCAATGAACTGCTGAAACACAGACCTGAGTTCGAATTCCGAAGGAAACAGATGAGTAAAACTAATACCTGGGGCCGTCCAGTTCAATGATCACATCTCACGGCCATCACCGTTTTAAGGAAAGATCACACAAGAGATGAAACACAAAGTGCAAGACTGCAGAAGACATCTGAACACAGAAGTCTCCAAACACAAGTGTTGAAGTCCAGAGGTGTCAAGACTCAAAGGGCAGAAATATTTAGGGTTTAGGGTTTAGGGGCTTCCACAAGCGTCCAGAGTCTCCGTACTCAACAGTCTGAAATATTCCCACTTCAACCCAGATCCGGCGGTCACCAGTGCGTAAGGTTGGGGGCTTCGGGCCAAAATGCTCCCGACAAGGAAAAGCATGCCAAGCCAGGAGGTTGTCCCAAACCAAAAAATGTTACAAGATAAATCTCAGAAAGTGCATTTCAGACACAAACCTCACCGTCTTTGAAGCCTAACAAGTGTTGGGACACAAGTGGACCAATGTCTGATCTATTTGAATACAAGGAGAGGTTGAGCAAATGTGATTCCAATGAAAACGGCTAATTCAACTACGAACAGAGTGAAAGGTCGATTGTCACTTTCGGCATCTGAAACATGAATGCCTACAACTGAAAGAACGAAAAGCAATAAAGACGACCGCGGACTGAATGAGGTTATGTTTTCGGCAGCTTTGCAGAGCTGGGTTCCATATCCTGAATCCTTGGGAGTGAGGACGGTCAGGACACAACAGCAGAATTGTTGACACTCCAGAACGGCCTTCTTTGAGGATGTTTTGTGGCCTTCTTTTCACCTGGACTACCAAAATAACAATTCTTGAGTGCATCTAACTGCGACAGGGGGACAAAAGAAGAAAGAGAAATTCGAAAAGGAAAGAAGGGAAAGAATGTGTCCAACGGTGAAATAGCATGCACTGCCAGAGAATGTGTCCGACTGTGACAGGAGGAAGAGAGGACTCAAAGACCCTGAAATAAGTCCAACGGACTCCATCCACCGTTAAATATTCCAGACGGAGGACAAGGGGCACAGGTAAGTGATGTGTCCAATTGCCACTGCCTAACCTCATCTCCATTTGATCATGGCAAATTAGGATCTGCGGCGTAGATTCTACGCAAGTCTCTCAGTCCAGCCAGAAACAAGTACGACTATCCTCTACCCGGGCCATTTAAGGTCGCATGGTACACAGATGTAACTGTTGATAAGCAGACCATGAGTTCAATTCCAGATACAATCAGACGAGTACAATAATGTAAGAGGCTAACCCCTCTCCAAAAAAAAAAGGAAAAGGAAAACATCAAACCATCCTGTACTGTCCCTACCTCGTTAAGAACCACCAGGTATTCTTTGAACATTTGCTCTCGCTCTGTAACCTCGATGTCCATGATATCTTCACGGCCGTCGGATGAATCCTTCTCCAGTTTTGCCTTGTATTCTAACCAAGATGCCTGCCAAACCACACAAACAGAAATTCACACAATGCAATCAGAATGTTTGGAAGAGGGCTCTGGACTTGGGCAGAGAAAGTCAACCTAAAACGACATGTTATCGTAAAAGCGCCTGAAGCATGAACATCCTGATCATCGTTGCTGTTTGTGCACCTGCAGTAGCATTTCAGACAGCATGAAACAAATCAGTCCTACTTCTCACTGTCCATTCTGCACAGCTATTCAAGTGATGCTGCAATCTCTCTCTCTCTCTCTCTCTCTCTCTCTCTCTCTCTCTCTCTCTCTCTCTCTCTCTCTCTCTCTCTCTCTCTCTCTCTCTCTCTCTCACATACCAAATGGCGCAGACCAGAACCCAGAACCGACCTCTCAAAGCTGGAGCAACAATAGCACAGCGGAAAACTGAAATACCAAGACATCGTGACGCAAAATGAACATCACCATCATCATCCCAACACAGTGTGCGAGGCCTGGCGCATAACACAGAGACGAAGCGCCAGGCACACGACCATACACGGAGGAGTAGGGAGGAGAGATGAAGGTGGGGGAGATATGGAGACTGTCCCCAACTCAAAACGTCATCGATACTGATCCAAAAATAGTCCCACACAATGTCAATCAAGTCTGAATCCAACTGTCGCAACTCTCTCTCTCTCTCTCTCTCTCTGAGAACCAGGTACTAACCTGTGAAAGGTGTCGCGTTGATGCACGTGCGGACGCGCGGAAAACAAAGCTGGAGCGTTGGAGCCGACAGGCAAGCCCCCTGGCTTCCGAAATAACCCTCTCTCTCTCTCTCTCTCTCTCTCTCTCTCTCTCTCTCTCTCTCTCTCTCTCTCTCTCTC